TTACTACACCGCTGGGGACTTGGTCAACATCACCAATCTCTACTCGAATATCGACACGTCGAGCCTGCCGGCGTTCTGCCGTACGTTGTAGCAACATATAATTTCATTTGCATAGCCGATTTCGAGGTACATCAGGTGTGGAGTTACTGATCACCACAAACGCGACCGCAAACTCCACGGCGAACACGGAAGTCTGGCTCCCCGACGAGTGGAATGGTCGATATGTTGGTTTTGGTAATGGCGGTTATGGAGGGGGAGGTATGCCTTACCTCCACGTCTCTGTCAATCACCTGCATCATGAATCGATGTTTTTCAGTTGATGTGGCCGATCTTGGTTTTGTCGCCGTCATGCAAGGATGTAGGTTGCATTCACTCTCAGCACGGGCGTATTTACCACCACAATCCTACCAGTTGCAGGCGTGTCGACAGACACCGGACACAGCTCCACATCGGCGAGTGGCACTTGGGGGGGACCACATAACGATGTATGCTTCCCACCGGTACCCCGACGGGTTGATGTTCGTTTCTGACACATTGTCTCTAGAATGCAATCATAGATTGGGCATACCGTGCTCTACATCTTAGCGTAGGCTTTGGAAAGGAAGTTGTGCAGCAATACTATGGCTCAGCGGCGAGCAAGTCATATTATCTTGGGTGCTCAACCGGTGAGTATTGCCAATCCATTCCACAAGAATCATTATTGTGATGTTGTATCTCAGGTGGTCGGCAAGGGTGAGCTCCCTGGTTGAGCACTCACCTCCATCTTACTGATGATCGGATTCTTGATATAGCCTCAAGGAAGTTCAACAATTCCCCGAGGATTTTGACGGCGTTGTAATTCTCCACACTAACTCCCCCCGCATGTCAATCTCGATTCACGCCAATATCATTCCTACAGGTCGTTGGTTCTCCTGCGAACTGGATGAGCCATTTGCAGCCTTGGTCGATTCACATTAACCTTAACGTTTTGCCTGTTGATTCCCCACAATGGATATCGGCCGATACGTGGACCGGTTTGATACACAGCGAAGTGTTGAACCAATGTGATGCACTTGACGGAGTGAGTCGCATTCTCCCTTCTTCGGCTATCGCTCTACGGGCGGAAATCTCACACTCCTTGCCCAGGTTACCGACGGAATTATCAATGACCCACGCATGTGCTAGTGAGTCGAATGAGCGCCTGCTGAACGAATACTTACCCTCATCGCTTCATCACCCCAACAATCAGCTTCCGACCGGAAACTCTTGCATGTCGACCTGGCCAAAATACTTCGACATGTCTTAACCTGGCACAAATTAACGCCATCCACCAAATATATTCACCATACTTCGAAACCAACGAGACCTACATTTTCGCAGGTTATTACCCCGGAGGTGAATTGGGTTATCCATACGGTTTGGTGGGACCCACTCCGTTCGAGATTTCCGGGGACTACTATCGCTATTTTGTCTTGAAGTGGGTACCGACCCTTCATACTCTCGGCATTTTCGTCCTGACCTTGTGAGACAGCGACACCACCTGGAATATCACCTCCCTGAACTATAGCATCATTCAGCTCGGTGACGAGCTTGATCCTGGGATGGAGAACGTATGAGCATTGCGTAGCCCTCTTATATACTTCTGACCAATCTCCCCAATCACAGGCGATCAGTCCTAACATTACAGCCTTTGCTGGGCCTGAACACAACGGGAAAGTTATTCACTACGTGGGCTGGGCGGACCAACTCATTAGCCCGGGCAATTCTCTGTATTATTATGAAACAGTGCACGCCTTCATGCAAACGGAGTCGGAGATGAATATTGATGACTTTTACCGTCTTTTTACCGTTCCCGGGATGCAACACTGGTACGACCTCCTCATTCCACTCCTGCTGAATGACATTCTGACCGTTCCGATGTTCCACTCTCCAGTCAGGTGAGTCATACTGTGAAAGATGGTTTCCATAGTTGGTAATGACGCCCACAAAGGGCGGATATGGCGCCAATGCATTTGGCGGAGCTGGCCAAGCTGCTGCATCTATGCCTCCTTTGTCATATGATCCGCAATATAACGTCCTCGCGGCTATGGTGGCCTGGGTCGAGGAAGGGATAGCGCCCAGCTCTTTTGTGGCCGCATATTATAACAATAACACCGAAACGGATGGGGTGGCTTTCACACGACCGCTTTGCAAGGTGAGTGGTGTTTGATTGCATGCCGTGTCCTCATATTCACCACCATTTGATTCTTCAGTATCCCGGCAGCATCAAGTACATGGGCGGGGATCCAAATAGTGCTACCAGTTTCATCTGTGCATAGGAGCCAATACTTCTACTGCTTAGAAGGGATTGTAATGCAGTTGCCGTCCTCACCCCAGCGCGCTGATATCCCTTTGTCATTCGGCCGGTAATCAAACTGCAAGGTTCCCTAGAAACCATCAGCTTTCCCCACAGTCATTTTAAGCAGGGTGTGGTCCTTTTTGATCGCATCCAACTTAATTATTGTTCAACGTCGATCTGCGAGCATCAGGAGACATCAGTATCAAGATATCAAGTCCCGGACAAGCGCTCGAGAAGACACTAGCATGAGAACCAGACTTGGAAGCTTCACCTCCGTGTTCAAGCTTCGTGAGACTGACTCACCCACCTTACTCGCCTCGGCAGTGCAGGGCACTGATCAACATGAGCACCAAGTTGAGCAACCATTGCATCTGAGGGGAGTGGCAGTGGTTTGAGTCATCGTCGCACAACCGGTGTTCACTCCTCGCTTACGCAACAACCAATGACTTGGGGTGCCCGAAGATCTTCAGTAAGGAAATATCTGAGCAAGGATAGTTTTTCTGTGCGTTGTCTGAGGAGTACTTGCTGTGCTCGTTTCAAAATAGCAAGATCGTTTGGATAGATTTGTGTCCGCGAATGTGACAAGCTGTGACGTCTACCGTTCTCCATCTCACACCGCCTGCTGTGAAACCAAAACTTCCCAACAGAAAGGAACAATCTGATGAGGCTGCTATTGATTCAACGGACCTCGTTTCGCACTCGAATTCTAGATCCCGATGATTCCTGGCGCCATTTTTTCTGGAGAAAACTCCACCGCATGTCCGTCCTGGAACTTTTCTTAAGCGCCCAGGGAGTTATCAATCCAAAACAAGGCGGCGTCTTCATCGATCCCAGTAGCTGGTGGTTCTCCCGGCTGCGCTAACGGCTGTCCGGCTATGTGACTGGGTCTTGCTGTCTGCGCAGCTCCTGAATTATGACTGGCGTCGTCTCCAAAGTCGCACTGGCGAGGACAAGCAGTACCTTCGGATGCAGTTATACCCGTACGTGGTGGTTCTCACAGCTCTGATATTTGATAACTCACTGTGTAGCCTTAGGGGGTAGACGAAGCTTGCAACGAATGCTGCGTTACTCATGTTATCATCTGGTGCCAGCGCTTATGCCAGTGTCACCCTCACGGCCTTTTCTCTTTGCGCAATTTCACATCGAGCTCTTTTCCGCTAGATCAGATGGGGTGCAGTAACTGGCTCATCGCCGCTCAGACGAAGCTCGCCCAGCGTGTCTGATCTCCCAGATAGATTTTCTCCATCAGAACGCTGTCAATAATTCTCATGCGTTGTTCCACCATGCTTTCCTCTCCTCTCCACCGCTGTTATCAAGCTCCGAATGTCTTTGCTTGAAATGCTGTGTTCATACAATAACGCATCACTCGAATTGCGCCAGTGTACCGTATCAGGCCACAATACGCATCAACGTTCTCAGGCAAGTCGACCATCGTTACGTTCTCAAGCTGTTAACTGAGCTTCTTTGCAGAATCGGGTGATACGACTCAGTCATACTGACTCAACCTGTCGGCTCCCCGGGATTACCGATGACACGATGGATTGTTTCAAGTACACTTTTGAGTGAACTTTGCTGCTTCTATGGACCGACATCCCAAAGTATCCAACTGCTGTTTTGTTCCGTTGATGGACTCAGCTTGATGTGCAGTTCACCGGAGGATTTCTTGGCCCGCAGCGACTACCAATTTTGCACACTCTTGTGTTGATCCTCTGTCGGAATGACTCGAGCCTTTGATGAGCTTCCTGGATCCGCAAGCGAATACAAGTACTGCATCTCGTATAAAAGCCACTTGATTGAGGGACGCCTCTGTCCTCAAACTACACCCATCTATTCACAACCACATTACCTTCCCGATACACTCGACCATCGTCAGAATGGCCTACAGCGATGATCGTGAGTGGATTTATCTCCTCGACTAGACTGCTCGTTCTGATAATTGAGGTCTGAAGACTATCGAATGCGCCTCAACAACTTCCTTCAAGGAAGAGGGGTCGCATCCACATTAACCTGGGAAATACACCAAGCTGGAGCAAATCATGCTCCCGTTTGGACCGCGATTGCTTACTGTATGTGACCCCCATCGTTACTCTCCTCAAATTCCAACCCTTTTCGTAGTGAACCACATCGAGTATGGCCGAGCAACGTCGAAAACTCAGGGGGGAGCCAAAGAAGAAGCCGCTCGCTTGGTACTCTTTGCCATTGCCGCCGATAGCGGACGTCGGTAATGATTGGCGTTGGCGTAAAGTGAGTCATCCCATCCCTACTTCTTCCCAAGCTTCGGATTGGCTCACCCTATTTTTTCTTGCAGATGATCCTATCCTCCCGTCTCTCATCTCTCGCCTTACGAATAATTGTTACAAATAGACTCTCCTATTTTATTCTACTACGGTTGTCCTCTATACAAATGATCCACATGTATCCCCCATCAATGTCTTTGTTTCGTGCGTCTAAGATGACAGCATTGCATACATATCCTTCTCAGTACCATGCCATGTCAATCCGCCTATCCATCTGTATATACTTAGTTCTGACTCGCCACTCCGTTCGCAATAAATAGATTCGTCGACATTCTGGTCTTTTTTTGCCACGAACAATCAAGCCATCAGATCTTACCAGGGTTATTGGTGGAAAATCGGACAAAAATTGTGTCCTGAGCGGATTCGAACCGCCTTGAATCGGAAGGTGTCCCGACGAGGATTCGAACCTCGGGCTTCACGGATTGCAATACCACAACGTGATGATTTGACCACTAATCGACAGGGACCGAAGGACAGAAGCCAAACTGACACCATGTCGAGGAGGGGAACTTCAGCGGACTCCTCGCAGAACGGGACGAATGCCAACGAAACAAAGGCTGAGGAAACCAAGCTCAAGGCTGCAATTTTCCTCAAGCACAGGCGAGGGATCTCACAGCGACGAGTCGACACCACTTATCTCGAGATGATAGGTGGGGAAGTGGTAAGGTGGAGACGGAAAGGTGTGCAGCCACAGATTCTAAATGCGGCATTTGTGTTTCCTATTTGGGAAGCCCACGATCGACACCAGTTCTGCTTTGCGGATCGAACACTGAATCGAGTACTTAATGTTCGACTGTGCACCATGACTTTGCCAGCAAACAACCATGATCCCCGAATCCATCCTACAGATCGGCTATAACCTCTTAGACCAGGTTAGTGGGCCTTTTTTCGTACCTCAACATCTGACCTCACCCTGGGAGTTGACTTGTGTGCAGGGATTAATTCCAGATTCCATTGTTCGACCAGTCATTCGAACATTGTGTCGCCAGAGACTGCGCGACATCGACCATGGGTCATTTGAGGCCAACCATTCTGCCAAGATGAAGTGGATTGAACAAGTGAAAGCACGGGCGACTATCGCCGACCTGACTGAGAAGGCCAACGAGCAGCACTACGAGGTGAGTTATTTTCTCAAGGATTGTTCCGAATATATCATGGAGAACATCTGCTAGGTCTCGACGAAGTTTATTCTTTCATGCCTTGGGCCTTTCGCAAAGTATTCCTCATGTCTTTATCCGACGGGCAAAGAAACGCTCGCGGAAGCAGAGATTCTGATGTTAGAGAGCTACTGTGAGAAGGCCAAGTTACGTGATGGACAAGACGTTCTTGATCTGGGTTGTGGTATGTACCTTGGAAGTGGTGCTCTCATTCCTCCCCTATCTCTGATCACCTTAACTCTCAGGTTGGGGAAGCCTTTCCCTCTATTTGGCTCAGGTACGAGCATCCCAGAGATTCATTTCATCGCCTGAAACGCCATCTGGTTAGAAATACCCAAAGTCCCGTATCGTCGGCTTGTCAAATTCTGCCACCCAAAAGGTTCATATTCAAACGACTGCTGCCAATCGTGGCTTGACTAATGTGGAGGTGAGCACTCACCCTGACTGCCATCTCCTGAGTCTTACTCAGGGTGAACAGATTATCACAGCAGATGTTAACACGTTTGATTTTAATGGGACCCGTTGGTAAGTTTCCTTCCCTCTCCCAGTGTCACGACATCGATGAGAGCTCCCCTCTAGTTTCGACCGTATATTATCGATCGAGGTACCCATCTTTCGAGGTCCCAGATAGTCCTTCCCTCAGGCCCCTTCTATAGATGTTTGAGCACATGAAGAACTACGAGGCCCTTCTTGTGAAAGTCGCAAGCTGGTTGAAGCCAACTCCCCCTTCAACAAAGCTCAAGAACGATCGAGTTGAAAATTTGCCATCCGATGAAGCGCTCCTCTTCGTCCATATCTTCTGCCACAAGACCACTCCATATCACTTCGAAGAAGGCGACGGATGGATGGCCCAAACGTTCTTTTCCGGTAAGTTTTCTGTTTGTTTCTCCTTTCCATCTGTGTATTTTATGCCGTAATGTTCAGGTGGCACCATGCCTTCGCATGATCTCTTGGTATGCATATATCCACCACAACGTTGCCTGTGCTTGGACCAATTTCCTGTCATTTGCCTAGCTTTACTTCCAAACGGACCTTACACTAATCCGCAGCTGGTATCTATCTGGGAAACATTATTCTCGGACTTTGGAAGACTGGTTGTCTTTACAGGACCAGAATGCAATGCTGGCTCTCGCAGAACTTGAACGTGATGCTGAATCGAAGGGTGTGTCTTCGGCTGAGGCCAGGAAAGCCTTTTACAGGCAAGTGTTTGGGTTATTGTCTCTCAAGGCACTATTGATATCGCCTTCTGTAGATTCCGTGTCTTCTACATGGCTTGCTCTGAGTTATTCGCCATGAATGGAGGACAAGAGTGAGGACTTTCTCCTTTCTTCGATACCCACTTGTCGATTGATTGCCTTTGGATTAGGTGGGGAGTTGGCCATTACTTGTTCAGGCGGAAAGATTGAAGTCCAAGGCGACGATATACCCCTCTGCTATAATTCGTATCCTGTGAGGGTCAAAGATAGTTCCCCATTTCCAGACACATTAGACAAAGGGCATGGTAGTCAAGGAGCAATTCTCCTGAGAGTCCGTATCTGAAAGGTTCCTATCATCCGAGTCCACCAATCCATCATCGCGGCGAGACAGAGCCACTCTTATCCTCCATATAAGTGCTCGTGATTTGCTCCAGCTCCTCCCTGTATCGTTTGTGGTCGTCGCTCAGACGCAGCAATCCATCAATATCCATTAAATCGTCAGCGCCGTCAGATAGATCTGACGTGTTTGCGTCGCCGTTGTTGAACCGTTTCAGTAGCTGCTCGATTTTGCTCTTTTGAGAAACAATCTTTTGGAAAGTGGTGATATATTCGGGATACGATGCATCGTAACGAGCTCTCAGACCTTCATGATCTGTAGGAAGGGGCTCAGGCTGTGGTTTTGGATGTGAGCGTGATGGAGTGGAACGACGAGGACGAGCTTTTGATCTTGAAGTCGGCGGGGAAAGATCCTCAGCGTCATCTTCATCATCTGAGGATGTGTAAATGGGAGATTTCCGACGTGAGAGCTTGTGGGTTGGAGACGAGTGCGATTTGGTAGCACGGTCTCTGCCTTTGTCTCGGTCGTGCTCCCGGGCGCGTTCTCTTTCCCTGTCCCTTTCCCTGTCCCTTTCTCTTTCACGTTCTCTTTCCCTCTCTCGCTCTCTTTCCTTTCCTTTTTCCTTTTCTCGCTCCCGATCCCGCTCTCGTTCCCGATCCCGCTCTCGGTCCCGTTCCCGGTCCCTTTCCCGTTCCTTTTCTCGCTCCCTGTTCCTCTCTCTGGAGCCTGGTGCCGGTGACTCCTCTCTCTTGATTCTCTTCAGCTCTCTCTCACGATCAGTCTTGGCGACAGAGGTATCCCGATCACGACCCCTCTGCGAAACATCTTCCACCCTCCTTCGTTTGGTAGACCCATTGACAGCATCCCTATCCGAAGCAATAGATTCGTCGTCGTCATTGAGAGCTGGCTTCTTCCTCTTCATCCCCGTAACACTCAGCTCTCTCGAGTCTCTTGCCTCCCGAACCTCTTTGGAAGCGACCCTCTCCTGCCGAGATACAACTTCGGACTCCCTCGATTTCTTCGCCACTTTCGCCGTTCCTAATCCAGGCTGAGTCGACTTGGTCTCCCTTACTGCGGGCGGAGGTATGGGAGGAACGGCTTTGGCGGGTCCTGAAGGGGCCGGCTCTTCTCGCCTTCCAGACCTGGCGTCGACAGGTCCCGTCCTCTTCTGTACCCTTTGAAGATTCGCTGGGTCTCCCGGGGCGGGAGCATTGGCAGACATCGGGGTCGAAGGAGTTGGGGTCGTAGTTCGTGAAGTATTGGAATTCGAGGCCTTGAATCCCGATCCTGGTAACCTCCGAACTGGAGGTTTGGAGGAACCCGCCGTAGGGGCAGGCGTGCCAACCGAGGAATGAGCTGCAGAGGCAGCGGGTGTTTGTTCAACTCGTTTCACCCGAGCAGGAGCACTTCTACTCTCATCCTTGGCTGTTATCTCCACCTTGGCCGCTCGAGACTTCGCAGTTCCAGTCCCAGCGCCCTCCGCCTTTGGCTTGGTTTTCTTCTCCTTCGTCTTCATCAACCCTGACCCGGTGCTTGTACCAGCGGTCGTCCCATTGACAGGTGTATTCGTGCTGGGACCAGGAAGCGCCATAGGAGTATTGGCCGAACGTCGGTACGCCACATGACTCCAGACAGGATCGGTCTGAGGGATCTTAAGATCACTAAACGCCAACCTCGCTTTCCTGGCCAAAGCGGTCCGTTCAGCTTCGGTAAGCTTGGGCCACTCATAAGGGCGGACTTCTCGCCAAGCTTGATTCTTCAGCTGCCAGCCTCGGGTTGAAGGAGAGGACTGTGTTCCCTTCACGGGGGGTGGTTGCTCAGCCAACTGATATAGCAAGATAGTCAATGAAAGGCGCGACGAAGTCAGAGAATAAGAGACTGACTTCGGCAAGGAGATCGAGGAGGATTTGGCGAGTGGATGCGTCATAATCGGCACCTCCGACCAACTTCAAAACCTCTTCCGTCGTCCGCATGCTGACAGCTAAGCAATGAACCAGCCTCTTCCTCAAGGGCATTACCGTCTCCTTGGATGGCGATGTAGGCGCAGACGCTGCTGGCCGAGGCGAAGCAACTCTGGAAGTTAAATTGGAAGCGGGCACAGAAGATGGCCCACTACGAAGATGCTCCGCTTGAGATGCCAACTTCTTCGCTGCAGTGATACCACTCGAACCAGAAGTTGCTGGCGCCTTTCTCTTCTTCCCGTTCACCGATGGCAGATCGAGTGGGGCATCCAACATGATAGCTTTCCTCTCGGTACGCTGTTTCTCGGCAACTTGCGTCCGGTCGCGAACTTGACCAGCGACCTTCGTATCAAGCTGGCGCTCTACTGTGAACTTCCCTGTGACGTTGGCGTAGAGTTTAAGTGGTGCGGTGGGTTTATTCGCCATGGCTGTACGGAGGTAGATTTCGTGTGGCGAGTTCTCCTTGAGCGGTAACATGGGGTAAAACGCATCACCGATGTAGATGCCCTGAGACCAAATGTTCGGATTCTAGACTGTACCGTAGTGGTGGGAGAAGAGGCTTACCGATGCTTCACCAAACTGGAACTCCATTTGGGGGTTGTTAGGGAAATCGGCGAGGGCATCTAAGGTCTCTGGTGTCATGCGAACGATCATAGCATGCTTGGGTTTCGACTGGGCGTCCCCAATTCGCGAGGGACCCTGGAGAGATAGAGTAACATTATCTGGGAGAGGCATCGTGGAAAGCTATAGCGATGAATTTGAAGCGCGAGACGTCGAGTGGTGTTTAGGGATGGGTCTGATCTGAGGACAGTGCCT